ATATTTATAATTATTTCATATATTACAATTTGAAGTACATTTCATATTCCTGCCATACTTAAATAACCTTATCAAATACATACATATTTAAATAGAACTATCTAGCTAGCTAAGCCTTTTGCTTATCAATAACTGTTTAATCCTAAGCCCCTCTTAACTTCTATTGACAGCTGTTGCCTGTGTGTGTCCATGTGTATGTGTGCGTTGCAGCGGCTTCACAAATTCGTTGCGAACATAGCCAAAACACACACAGGTAAGTTGAGATATTGTGTATGTACCGAAATTCGTAGCTGTTGTTGTTCTTCTTCTTCTCGAGCGCTTGCGGCGAATTCGCTCAGGTAAGCGATCTCTCTCTCGCTCTCACTCTCTTTCAATGGCTGTGTGTGTGCGCGTGTGTGAGTGTGAAGAGAAATAGTTGGCTTGCACAAATGCTGCCTTATAAGCACTCAAGTTCGCTGCTTGCCTACGAGTGTGTGAGTGTGTGTGTGTGTGTGTGTGTGGCTGATCTGTGTGGGCATCGAATCTACGGCGCTTTGGCTTTTGTCTTTTGGCCAAAAGATTTGTAGAAGCGCTGTCAACATTGTGTTTTGGCAGATTTCTGATGTGGCCTGAACAAAAAAAAAAAAACAACAACAACTATTCTCTCACCTGTTGCCGCTGCCCACAGTGTATGCTGCTGCACTGTTTCGGGGTATTCACGCAGGACTCGACAGGCAGGTAAAATCAGGCGCATACTACTTCAAACGCACAATGTCGAACGGGCGGACCATAAACCATAAATATTATACGGCAGGATTGCCTAGACAAAAGATGTGGCACGAAAAGCGCAACAGCCGCAGCTGCAGCTACAGCGCACAGCATCTTGCGTCTCATACAAATGCCGAGTCCCACGCTGCGAGCTCAAGAGGCGTTGCTTTGTCTTGCAACTCGAAAGTCTTCTTCGACATTGTTTTTACCAATCTATATATATGTGTATACATATACATACATACATATATATATATTTTTTTGGTTTCTCTATACATTTGAAATTTGAAAATCGTTTTATAAAGTTTTGTGGCACACGAGCCGAAGCGCCTCTTGAGTTGCCTGCGTCGCTCTTTCGTGTAGATCTCGATCTGCTTTTCGCTTGAAATTGATGTCTGTAATCAAACATATTAATAGCTGTCTATGCACCACTATCAGACCTCAATCACAACCCGTTCCACAATACCCCAGCAGCCACAAAGCTGAAGAAGAGGCAACAGCAGTGAAGAAGAAAAATGAAACAGAGTTCAGCTGTCAAAAATCGAAGAGGAACATGCAACTGACAAGAACTCCAGAGAAACCACTTGAGGGCACTCCATGGCCATAGCCGTATAGCCATATAGCCATACAGCCATACAGCATCCCCACTCCAGGGCCAAACACTCCATGATGAGAGTCAGACAACAGGTAAACGAAGGTGTAAGAAATTGGTTACAAACATTTTCCATGAAGCGTACAAAATGCCAGTGAAAATCTCCGTTCCGCACCCTCTATCAAACAAAAAAGCAAGAAAGAAAGCCTCTGACGACCCTTGAGACGCTGCTCTAGACTCCTGCTGCTCCTCATGATCAGCGGCAGTCTCATGCTCTCAGTCTCTCAGACTCTCAGACTCTCAGGCTCATCCTCATCATTGCCGTCAACGACGCAATCGATGCAGATGACTTTGCGCCTGACTGCGGCTAAAACGCTGTCGGATTAAATAGTAACAAAAGATTTCCAGCTCAGCCCGCTCGCTCACTTGTTCGAGTGTTTCGCTTAGCTGATCCTAAGTCGGGTAGCTCTTCTTTCTTCTTCTCTTGTTTCCATCGGCAGCACCCACTGAGCGCCGTTCTCTCAAGTGTCCGGAACGAAAGTGTGAGGCGTTTCGCACATTTGACAGCTGAATAGGAACAACAGCAAGCGGCCAAAACGAAATCTGGCGCCGGTGCCAAGTTGTTGCCATAGAAACCCTAGACTAACAACTTTACAGCAATCTTAGCTACACTATTGAAACTCTTGATGCAACAAATGTATCTACTTGATTCTGAGCGGGTATACAATTCTTAAATACAAATGTATATAATACAAATGTATATAGTATGTTGGGCATTTCTTTAAATGGGTATTATGAATTTGTAACCAAATCTGCCAAAATGTTTTGCTGGCGAATACTTTTTTAATAGCAGTTTAACCTCAAATCAAACCACTTTGATTGTCTTAAGATAACCAAACTTGATAGCTCCAAAACGTAACGTAAAATCTAGCAAAAGATATTTAAAGCAGATATATATCAATATATTTTCAACAATCATAGAATATCATAATAAAAGTCGAAGTATTGACATGCAAATTTCTTAATGTAGATAATTAAGAATTTATATAAAAGAATCTATTATAGCCCGAAAAATTAAATATTTAGTTACAATTCTTACGTTTTTGAAGAGTTAGTTAATACGAAATTAATATACAGCCCAGAACAAGTTTTAATTATGTAGAAAAATGGAAGTTAACTGCGATTGCTGTTGATAGTGAACATTTGTAAATGGACTTTACCTGATTTAACTAAAAAATGCTTCCTAAATTGATATATATTTTTAAATTTATATAACTTCTAGTTTTAGATCATTTTTATATACAAATTCCATTACATACGTATGAATAATTGAAGCACGCGCTAAGCTCCACACACTAATTGGATTGTCAGCCCTTTGGCGCGTTGCTCAGTCTCAGTTATAGTCCACCTGCCTCTCCTCCTCCCCTCAATTGCTATGCCCTAGCATCTGTACCTTTTATAGGTATTTCGAATAGATCGATCAAGAAATTGCTACATCAGTATCAGCTGTCACACGTTTCGTATCTATTTCGGTTGGCTGCTAAATCCGCTTAGAATTAAAGCTAATTGCCAGGGCTTTCAATCATGATGCGGCATATTTGATTTAAGAATCTGTCATTGTTCTTCATCTGCTTGTTCTCGTGTTTCTCTTTTAACCAGTTAAAGCCCAATAGTTGGGCAGTTTATAATCGTGGCGTTGCCTTTAACCCCGACATGCAAATATCACGCTTCATTTGTTGTTGCTTACGCTGATGAGGCTCCGATATTTGTTTTATTTTTGTTTTCGTTTTTTTGTTCGACTTGGTCTTCAACTTCAGCTCAGCTTCAGCTTCCACTCAAATTCTCATTTAACTGCCAGTTCGCATAAGTATTTTTCTTTTATTTTGTACATTTTATTGGTTGTCGCCATCAGCCAGCGTTGATACCCTGCGCCATATGAATGGAGCGAGTCTATTAGCTGCATTAGACATATTTTGTTTGGTATTCGACTTGAATTTAATATTTATTGAATATGGAAATATACACATATACATAGCTACATAGCC